TTCCAACACTGCCTAGCATTAGAAAAGCACGGCTTTCCAACTAATCTCGACTGCAATCACTTATCCCTCATTTTACAAGAATGAACAATTTCATTCGACCAGTTTATGAAGTGTTCGATGTCATAATCTTATATTCTTTAGTAATATTTACTATATATTACTTTATCATATCTTATCATCATTTTTAGGTTTGCCCATGGAATTTAACATGTATTTTATATCTCTCAACATATACTCAATAACCACCTGCTAGAGATTAAATACTTGAACGATCAAAGGTAGAAACCCTCATACATAATCATTATATTCATTCATCTCACTAATATCAATTACTAAAAGAGCAATGTCCTGGTGGAAATATTGAGAGCAGGAAGCCTCTGAGTCGAGGTTGCCACAAAACTCACCAAGGCCGCATCTGAGTGCATGTGCCGACACTTCCCCCATCTTCTGAGTTATTCCATCATGAACTATCAAGTCAGAGTCTTCAGAGCCGTTCGGATCCGCCCCACGCATAGTGAGACGGCAACAATCCGAATTACAACAGAGGTACCTATATGGACAACCACAACGCCCTAGTACACTGGAGTTTCACCCGTGATATGAAAAACACTAGTGAAAAATATATTTCACGACTACTACATATCACCGCGAATATCACGTCTTTCAGCGTGTTTTACGCCACTAAAAGTAAAACGGGTGAAATTCAACTATTGTAGATAACATAAACGCACCGGTGGAGTTTTACTAATTTAACGTCAAGTGGCGTAATACGTCATGTGAGTTATAGGACGTGTATGTTTCCACGGTCGATAACACAATTGTATTGAGATGTGAAATATGTTTTCACTATTTTTTATATCACGGCTGAAACTCCATTCTAGTAGAGGTGAGAATAGGTTTGAAATCCAACATGAAGGAGTTGACATGAATTTTTGTCGAGAAAACTACTTGATAGTTATCATTAATTTCACCACCGTACTGTGCACATATTGATGATATAATGCCTATAATCACATATCATTATTTATATACAGATCACTGCCGACCCGCTAGAGTACCGTACCACTTACGCGCCACATATAAGACACACAGTAGACAACCGTGGTACCGTTCCGCATCGAACACATCTGTGATTAACGAACTGGGTGTACCTGTGGAAACCAGGCACCCACGAAGTAGCTCTGAGAAATAACATCTCCCCAGGGTTTGATAACAATCGGGAAAATGATGATCCTAATGTGACAACATTTACATGGGAAACTGATTGAAGAATGTGTTGCTAGCCATACGTGGAAAATTGTGAATGAGTTCCCCCGGTGACAGATTTCCTAGTGACGAAAGTAGCTCCCGGGCGCTTACACTCGCTGGTAGACTTTGGGCCAATCCAACAGAACTGCTCCCGCCCGGTACGGTGCCGCTATCAACGTATAAATAACCCCTTCAAAGTCGAACGGACCCGCTAGTGTAACAAAGCCAGTGATCTGAGAATCCTATGATCATATCAAGAGGCTTCATACCAACCTTATGAAGCTGGACATAGTCTTCCCACTGCTCTCGACCGGATAGACGCACTACGAAATCATGAACGCTAAGACACTGGAATGCTGCCTTGGGAATAGTCGCAATCTCTTGGCACACTGGTGCTGTATCACAAGGCACCTGCATTATCATGAAATCCGCCGTAGATAATACGAAAAAATATTTACTATGAAGTAAATGAGCGATGATGAACACTGTGTGACAATGCCTGCTCGGAGGCTCCTGGCAATAGCTGCGTGGTTGCCTGAGACAACAGCCTGCCAACCGCAGTCTGGGAAGGTATGCAACATGAAAACTCGGAGGGAAATTTGGGGAACTTCTTGTACATTCCTGTCAATGCTTGCCGTACATTTCTACCCGAATTCGTATGTATACTAAACGCGTTTGATAAGTGAGGAAACTCTTAAGCTCAGATGAGGAAAGCGAACCTATTTTCCGGCAATTGTAGAGGATTACATACGAATTCGGGTAGTAGTGAACAGCAAGAGTTCACCATAATTTTCCTCAGAATTTTCATAAGTCAATTGACCACGTGCATACTTCGCTACATTGGAGTTTCACCCGATTTACGTAAAGTGGCGTGAAACTCGGTGAAAAACGCGATATTCGCGGTGATATGCAGTAGTCGTGATATATTATTCACTAGTGTTTTTCATACCACTAGGGTGAAACTCAACTGTTATTTTTCACCCATCGGCTTGTATCTTTTGCGCTATAGAATTTCCAGGTAACATATTCGATGAAATCGTTGATGAAATTCTTACACTACTCAGTGAGTGAGTACTGGTACTACTAGTGAGTACTGGTACTACTAGTGAGTACTACTACTAGTGAGTTCTACTACTAGTGAGTACTACTACTAGTGAATACTACTACTGGTGAGTATTACTACTAGTGAGTTCTACTACTAGTGAGTACTACTACTAGTGAGTACTACTACTAGTGAGTACTACTACTAGTGAATACTACTACTGGTGAGTATTACTACTAGTGAGTTCTACTACTAGTGAGTACTACTACTAGTGAGTACTACTACTAGTGAGTACTACTCACCGACGACAACGCTATGAGCAAAGAGTCAGGCACCTTACCGAGAACAGTTGAGCGGAGGTCTTCCTTTAATTCCTCGGCTTCGTGTGTAACATCAGAATCATAGTCGACTGCCTCAAACGTGAAATCCTCACGTGCCTGGCAAACGACAAAGTTCTCAATACTGGAGTTTCACCCGTGATATGAAGAAAACAGTGAGAGATATATTTCACGGCTGCTGCGTATCGCGAATATCGCGTTTTCCACAGCGTGTTACGCCACTTCACACAAAACAGGTGTAACTCTACTGTGTAGCCCCGCTCACCTTCGCATAAGCATCTTTCATACCAACAGGGAGCGTCGACAAAAGCTCGTCTGAATAAAATGGGCGAATAATTCCGATAAAGTGTTAAAACGTTTACCGAAATATGACGAACAGTACTGTCTAGGCCCTGCCGGAATATTCACATCGCTGACACCGAGCACATTGAGGAGGCAAATAACCTGAGCATCGTCTACCATGAACAATCCTAGCATACCAAAATTCCTTCACTTTTAAAAGCATATCGCACGTGCCAACCGCGACTAGCTCCTCTAACACATCAGTCGAGTCGACCAAGGATCGAGAAAGGGCTGAATACTTGCCGCTGAAAAATTACAAAGTCATCAATGAAATGAACATCACGTTAACGCAGGGTCTGATGACGAAACCAACAGGGATTTTTTGACAAAAAAAATCTTAGTTTTTCCTTCAGCTTGGTTTTTTGCAATAAAATTTCAGCAGTCGCCATATTTCAGCGTTGTATAGAAACGTACCACATCTCATGCTTGACTTGTCGCAGTGGAGCTGCTGACTCGTACAGCACACACCGAACCACATAACTGAAGGAAAGGACAGAAATGCAGAAACTAGGCGAACAGAACCATCTGTTGACAACGAACTTGAGATTTCAAAAATTCAAAATTCCTGGATATGAAACAGTTGATCCGGAATGAAGTCAACGAACTAGAAATCAATGCCCCACGAATATAAGTTATGCTCATAGTCAGGATTGAAGACTCCAGTAGCAGAAACAGTAAACGTTGAGTCTGCTCACAATCGTATCTTCTCCTCAGTGTCACCATCAATAAGCAGGCTCATGACCAACGCGAACCATCGATAACACGGCGACATAGCCTGCGAGAATCATCCCATCACAGCGCCAACGCACAGGGAAAGATTTCTTACAATATACGGTCGGCAAGTCGAACCCGTCCACATTTGCGCACAGAGCAAGCGAAGATGTTCGCGACAGGGAGTGTCTATCAGAGCTCTGGCCGCAGACACGAGACCGTTCAGAAGCCATTTCCAAGTACGTCTGAACGCAGAAGGCCGAGTAGATGCGCCATGAATAGGCTGTGTTGGAATACATGTGCGTAGTCGACTACATGTGCCAGTAGCATTTGAAGAGATTTTCATTGGTTTTTATACACTTCTACCCGAATTCGTATGTTAACTCCTATAATTAGTGAGGAAACTTCTTGACTCAGCTGAGGAAAGCGAACATATGTTCCAACACTGCAAACATGTATATACAAAATGATATCTATACGATGCAGATCTTTTTCTAGTTCCTATTTCAGGCATAAAACTATCGAATCTGAAGAGAGGACCTATACTCGTCGCTCACCCAAACTCTGTAACGGTTCTTGATCGATCATGATAATACATATTGAAAAGTTTCTTATGTTTGAAACTTTTAATGCTCGAGGTTTCATATTCCTAATCGTAGAACTAGCTAAGTTACAACATTGTTTTTGTTTTGAACTATCAAAATCGAACATATGTATTCAACACAACGTATGTTCACACGTTGTACGCCCTCGAACGTATGTATTTTACAAATGGAAGAATACGGATCGAGTTCATCATCAATATTGAAACCACCACGCTGTTTTTAATCAACTCCTGTGCCATATAAACTGCTAGACCCGACCGACCTACCCTGGAGCCATAGAGCTAGACTCAGAATTGACCATCGCACGAGCATAGGCCTCAACAGCCCCAGCCAAGACAAAACAGACACTACGTACAGTGTCCGCATATCTTGGCGATAAATGATCGCCGAATTGGAACTGAAAACCTATCACTTGCTGAGCAGTGGTGTACCCCATGAGACGATGCGGACTCGTCCAGAGGCTGTATCCAATGCAACGGCACGCAACGCGTTGTTATATCCATATGCACACTCACCTTTTCCCATTGACTAGCATCCATTCCACCTTGCAGAGCCGGAAGGACATCTACTAGATTTTGCAGACACTCCAACCCGAATCGGGCAGCGCTTGTCGGGCATCCTTCAAAGGTTGTCGCTGGAAGGAAAACACGGCTTAAGCAGGGATAGGCTATAACGAGTGATAATGCTATCATGAACGGAAACTCTCACCTAGTGGAGGTTCTTCGTGGTCCAAGCATTCTGTCGGTGGCAACAGCGCATTGCATGGCCGGTTACAATATCTACAAAGGACGTTCGCAAGCCCATTGAAGTGTGAGTCTAGCGTCAGGGCCTAGCAAACGAAAGTTCATCCTTACGGGCATGTCAAGTTCCCAACGGCAGCTTCGCGATAGCTTTCCCAACACTTTGTATGGAGCAAATGTCCACAGCCGTGTATCTGATAAGCCACTTACATTATATAGCAACTCGTTACGAATGTTGGCGCGATTTCCCCTCAGGGGAATCCCCTGTCACCAAAAGCAACTATGCTCAGCAGAATCGCCTCACAATAACGATAAACGATGGACGGGAACGATGATTGATGTATGGGCGATATGAACTTCATTGGAACGCTTCGACCTGCACTTCGGTATAAAAAGGGGGTACTTCTCAGGGACCGAAGATTATTTGATCGATACACTTTCGGGAGCAAGTTGAGAGGATTTCTGAACAAGCTACTCCCTCCATCGAGAAGGTGTCGGAGAAGTACTGAGAGATGAAGGCAACAGTGACGCCCAATATTATCCCGACGTCTATAGATTTGTAGGATCGATGCCGCCGCCAAAAGAATCTCGGGAGATGCGTCGACAATGGAGAGAGAGAACTCATGGGGGTCGTCAGTAATGAGAGTTATCAGTAGTGAGAGTTCCCAATAGGAGACTCTCAAACAGACCACAAGCGGATGTCGTCTGCCAAGCCATAATGGCTTAGCCAATCATTGGTTGGTCGTAAACAGCACCAAGACGGTCGAGTATCTTTTTAATCGTGGATTGTGGATCATTGCTACTCATATACATGCATCTCAGCATGAACAGTAGCTCGCTCAACATGAAAGCCATCAACCGTTGAGTCCAGTATCACGCTAAACCTCACCGAGCACCTGGTACATGGACTCTGCTGAGCATACCTCGGCACTCAAATTATAACTTCGGCGTTCAACAGATGCAGCACCTCGTTCTGGACCACCGAGAGTCGTGAGACTGGCCACCCGTCTGGTGACACCAGAGCAACACCGTCGCTGAGCCACCATGAACTGTCGTAGCCGAACCTCTTCGACATGAAATCCTATGATAGGATTCCTATCTTTTCATCGCATTCTTCTGGGAGGCACGAGCTACCCACCAAATTTCCGTTGGTGACCGATAGAGTGTCGATAGATAACTCATTCTAAGAAATAGAGTCTAATTCCTTCATCCCAACGACTCGTTCACATGGAAATCCATCCAGGAAGCCATTCCTCCAGCATCATGGAAACATTCCCGCAAATAGCTCGTTATTCTGCCGCACGCTCATTCAGGCTATGCAGGGGAGCACCTTCCACAGTCTGAGACTCACGGGCTGTGAGCAGCGCCTCCATTCTAGTGAGACTCTCGCCGCAGGAATCGACAACAGCAACGTTATCAAAAACCGGTTTTCAATAAACTGGCTTTAACATTAGAGGAATGAATATCAAAGCATAGGGCCACCCGAAACGACTACGTGAAAATGTGAAAGATTCGACCTCGTTGGGATCACCAACAAAGTGATGATCCGGAAGTGCTTTGCCACGAGATCTTCGTGAGACGGCAGCTATCATTAGGTCTCATCCAAGAACAGGAAGGAATTAATACCGGGAAATTTGGAGACCGGACACCTTACCACAGCCTTGACGCTCGTCGGACCGGGCGAGAAGAACGTCATGCTTGGCTGCTGCTGCTGTTGCTTCTGTCCTTGCTGCTCCATACCGCCGCTACTGTGTCGGCGTGGCGACGTTTTGACACTTTCCTCAAACGGTAATATGGCTTCGTCTGTTGCCACCTTCGGTCGGGGTGTATCCGTATAACTGAACAGTAGAACCATGCAGACACACGTCCCGGCCCGGGACTCCCAGGGGAATCACCATGGAACCAGTGACATGTTACGTAACAATGAACTCTCTCACCACAACTTACGTTGAAACTTCGATAAAGCAAAGACGTCCAAGTGCCCCAGATACAGCAGTGGGGTGATCCGATAAAATGTGGTGATGCACCCCAGGTGCTTCCGGAGCTCCGCCGAAGCATATAACGCAAGTCTGATAAAACACAGAGTCGTACATGCCCGCGATATAGCGCATCTTCATCACGGCTGATATAGAAATGGTTCGAGTGATCGATGATGATAGTTCCAACGTCGAGCGGTTCATCACAACACGCACCACTACTTACATCAGCCCCGCTATCATCGGTAGTCCTCGAGTGCTCCTTTTTGGCCGACACTGACGGACTAACCCTAGAGATGCCCTCAAGAAACTGCTGCTGTCGTGCCCGAACCTATTCAGACGAGCAGCTCCAGTCACTGAATTATTTTCCTTCAAGTGAGACCTAGACAAAAGCTCGATTATATGAACCGAGTTGCAAACAGCCCGGACCAATCAGCGACATCCTTCAACAGGACAACTCACCATTGACATCATCCTTCGCTGTACCGATCGTCGACGTCTGATCTTCTCTGGATCAATTGGACTAGACCCCGAGAAGGAGGAGTCACCACGAGGACGCTTATTGCCTACAGTGATAACAACAACACATTTTCCGGATCCTTACAGCTGTGCCAGAAGGGAACTCTGCTTACGACGTGTATCGGTTTCGATGAAACACACTCACCATTACATCGCCATCTCGAGTAATGCTTCAATGATGACAACGATCTCTCCTTTACTTAGAGAGACCACTCATCATCACAATGAAGAACCAACGATCGAAAAGCGCAAAACAGACTCAACATACATTCAGTGTCAGAGCCTCCCTCATCGTCAACCGCTATAGTCGTACTCATCTTTCTAACTGGTGTACTCGGATCCTCAACCGCTTCAGGAAGGGGTATATTCGCCAAAGCCATGCTCTTTTCGATCTACCATAGGATCAATTTTGTGGCGCGCGATACTATTCGCTCCTGCCTTATCACGGATCCCGTCTTCTGTCCTTCTTACTGCTCTACGATGTAACGCGTTCAACAACAACTCGATCCAGGGGTACTCCTGCGCACAACTCGGCGTCGCCGCCAGAGATGCGATCAAACTCAATATACTTTCAGATGAATCTGAACACCCAGCTTCCAAGGAAACTGTCATAGCAGCGATGTGATGCTCACCTGCCCCCTGCCTCCCGCCTGGTAGGCTTACTGGTACAGCAATCGAGTGGAGGCAACTTCGAAGAATAGCATCGTTATCTGATAGAATATCACACCGTTACAAAAAGTTCACAAGCTCCAAAAATCAAGAAAAAATGAAAAATTCAAGCATTTTAAGATTGCCTCTTATTTTCATAATACAGTAGTCTACTATCGGTGTAGTGAAATAGTAGGGTATAATACAGCGATGCTCACTAGTTGGTATAGTCAATTAATGGATACAACGCGTTCTGGTATTATGAGCGCGGACTACTGCCTCAATAAACAAGTGACGAAATTAAGCCCACCTGTAGTAGATTCAGCTCGGACCGCACGGAATCGACTGGCAAGCTGCGGTATTGTGAACGCTTGGAACTTATACGATGTCGACTGAAAGGAAACCTCCACCACTGAGTGTTGACCTCTGACGAACACTTGTCTTGAGGAAATATATGTTCGCTTTTCAGAAGTTTCTAAAACTACTTACTGAAGCTTTACCCACGAATGATGATAGATGCGTACAAAAAACAACGAACGTTCCCATCACTGACACATAGTAAACGATGTACATGTCTTCCACCACTATCTTATCTCTTAACAACGGTATTATGATTAACTTCTTCTGGAATTGGCAATAGACATTCGAACATACCTCAGCCTCCTCATCCATCCACACCACTTCGCCATCTTCAACTTTTTCAACACCGAATTCCGACACCGTAATCAGCCTCAACAGAAGATGCAGTAGCAAATGGAAGAGTCGTTGATCACCTCCCAACGTATCGAATAGCCCAACCCTATAATATATTTTCGTGGCGCGCGAAATATCCCCATGACTCACTTCACTGCCAACAGACCGATGAAGCAAATCGCCAGGAACTCAGGTGCCCGAGCTAACCGGATCGATTGATCTCTAAGATCCTTGTGGACCTACCAGGAATCCATCACTCAAATTTCATACATTTTCTATCAAATACTCGATCGATGCAAATACGAAACGATCCAGTACTAGTTAGAAGGTATTAATATATTTATATTAGATTGGTGAAACTGATAATGGAGTTTCAAAGACACTAGTAGAAAATATATTTCACGACTACTGCATAGTGTGAGTATCGCATTTGTCACCGGGTTTTATGCCACTTCACGTAAAACGGGTGAAACTCCAATACATAATATAAATATAAATTCGCGCATCCGTCTGCCGATCCATTGCTCATAGCACAAACAATGGATGAGTATAGCAATACAGTGTAAACCACACCGTTGTGCGAAGTAACACTTCAAACACCTTCGATTTTTTTAAGCTCGAAATTCAACTTTGAGTAGTATCAACATGATGACAACTCGACATTCGTTTCGTAGTCTATAGTCGTAGCCTCAAATTAAAGAAAACCGTCTCGAAAAACCTAGATATGCATAACTGTTTGGATTCGAATTGTAGGTCAGAAGGTAAAATGTCCATAGACATTCATTGGTCGAAATTAGTCTGGTGTTCGACTAATTTCAACTTGCGTTTCCGAAATCATAAATTTCATTTACGAGTTTCAACTTCCATTTTCAACCGGTCTACGAAAGTTGAACTTTCATTTCGTGAAAAGCTCCTCTCACTCGTCGGAAATCTAATTTCTTTCGTCAAATTTGCAAATTTCAATTACTGAGTTTCAAATTGAAAAGGTGGAGTCAATAGCGATCATGAGCATCCGATCATCGTCATTATGTTCTTCACAGGATATGGATCACGCCCGATGTGAGACCTCACCTTAGCCCGTTGAGAGTTGTGAATAACATCCTCAAACCACCACGCAGTAAGGGAACGATGCTCACGTTTCAGATACCCCATCTAAACAAGAACACTATTCTTATAAATCCATCCTACTCTTCTTACCAATCTTTCCTCAACATCCTGTTGTTCTCGCCAAAACCAGACCGGATGAAGCAGATCCACAAGGCCCCACTGATCATCTCGAAGGCTGTAGGAACCTACAACGACAGCATTCTAGCACTTTCATACCAACAGACTATCAGTTTCCCAATACAACATCAACTACTAGATGAAATAATCATCTTCTACAAATTCTCAAAGATCCTCCCCAGTGAGAGCACTTTACCGGTATAATGCCACCACTCTTCACACTTTCCAGAGTTACCATAATTTGAATATCTTTCCAGTATCCTAGCGTAAGCTAGCGCTAGTTTTAACAACTATGCTTATATATATAATACGAGATTGAAAACTGAGTATCATCAACGACGAC